TGCTAAAAGACGGATCACCTATCAGGTGAGGTGTTGTGGTTAAAGTATGCATGCTCCAGCATACCCACTTTTCAAAAAAACTTAAGCACCATTTTAAACAATGTTAGGGACAGTGTTATCAGAATCTCATCATATGTTTTGTGAAAAGATGTCCAAGAACAAAGGGCTCACACCCAAGAGGAAGAAGATTGATCGGAATCCCAGAGTCAAACACAGAGAGAAGTTCAGACGGGCCCAGGTTCGTCGGAAGGGTCAGGTAAGTGTCATAGGATTCATTTCTTTAATTCACTTTTGTTTGTGAAATACAGGTGCATCTCAATACAGCAAACTCACCAGACCTGAACCCCATAGAGAATCTATGGGGTATTGTCAAGAGGAAAATGTGAAACAAGAGACCAAAAAATGCAGATGAGCTGAAGGCCACTGTCAAAGAAACCTGGGCTTCCATACCACCTCAGTAGTGCCACAAACTGATCACCTCCATGTCACGCCGAATTGAGGCAGTAATTAAAGCAAAAGGAGCCCCTACCAAGTATTGAGTACATGTACAGTAAATGAACATACTTTCCAGAAGGCTAAAAATGTTTTTTTTATTGGTCTTAATAAGTATTCTAATTTGTTGAGATAGTTAATTGGTGGGTTTTTGTTAAATGTGAACCAAAATCATCGCAATTAAAATAACCAAAGACTTAAACTACTTCAGTCTGTGTGCATTGAATTTATTTAATAAACGAGTTTCACAATTTGAGTTGAATTACTGAAATAAATGAACTTTTCCACGACATTCTAATTTATTGAGATGCAGCTGTATAAGGTATCACTACCCAAAATGGACTCTGACCTCAGATTATTTGTGTCAGGTTCGTGAGGTGCGGCGTGAGGAGACGAGATACAGTGGAGAATGGTCTGGTATCCGTGCCGGAGTTAAGAGAAGCGTCAAACTCAAGTGATAAATCTGCAGATGATACTCATCCAAGCTTGAATGTGATATTAAAATGGACTTTTCTGGTGTTTCTGTATCACAGATATTAACAGATGGATTTGACATGTTTAATTCAACTGCTCAAACAGCAAATGAAATAAAATCATGTTCTGATCACAGTAAAATGCAAAATCATTTTTGGTGATACATGTGCAGAAAGAGTTTGTTTTTTATACATTAAACATACATCCTATATTATTTAAAATTTACTTTAAATCAGCTGTTAAAGCATGTGATTTGTTGCAGATGAACTCAAAGTTTTAAAAATACTAAGCAAAGGCAAGATTAGGATAATTATTACTGAAGCATATATTTTCTTGTTTTCAAACTGATTAAAGGCCAAAGAAAGTAGATAAAATAAAATGTATGCTGATCTCATTGTACAGAGGAAATCAATATTAAGGAACTTATTAGAGTTTTTTTCTGAACTTACAGATGTCATTTTTTGAACGACACAAGTCAGTTTTCCAGGATCTGTTTCTCTATTCAGATTTGAACCATAGTTATTACAATACAACAAAAACTAATCCCAGATCTGCCTTGAGCCTACAGTACATGCTACAAAATCGCAGCAAGTTTTTTCATACTTGTCGAGACATAAATTCACTGTGTGCTTCAGTCAGATTACTGACAATCCTGTCCTCAATCTCTACCTCTTTCTGCACTTCCTCATCTGTGAGGACCAGCTCTTGTTGCGTGTCCTTGGTGACAACAACCACATAACCACGGCGTGTGTCGAGAACATTCGCAACCACTGTCTGGTGGTTGTAGGTTTCTAAGGCACGCCATGCTCGCTCCAAAAGGATGGAGGGGTCTGTTTCCAACTTGAAAGAGATGACAAATGCCTTAGGTGCCCAGTCCTTCACCAATGGGGACAGCATCTTGGGAACCATCTTCATACTTATCTAAATAACATTAAACAAGCAGATGAATGACTTTTTATATGAGGTTTGGAGCCTAGGTTTACTGCATGTAATGTAGCACAGGGGTTTTTAAATTGGGATCCGTGGACCCTCAGGGGAGTGCTAGGGGGTCCATGGAAAAGATGCAATAAAAAAAATGTAATAGATTAAATTGTGAACTACTTCAATAAAATTGATTCATATAAATAAATCAATAATAAAAACGTAATAAATTACTCTAAATTACGTAATCATAAAAAAATCAAGTAAATACACTGAAAAATTGATAATACATCAAACAGCTCAGTACTAAAATGACTAGAAAAACCTTACTGTTACATAATAAAAACTAAATATTTTCCAAATAATCACAAATTCATAATAATGTTTCACATAAATTGCATCTTTATTCATGAAAATATATAGCTGCTTTTTAAATTTTTAAATGGGGTCCCTTGCACGAGGATGATCATATTTGAAGGGGTCTATGGAAATCTAAAAGACTAAACCCCTGGCATAGGCAGACTGAATTAATATTTGTATTTATTATACAACACCTGAAGTGGCCCATTAGAAGACTGAATTTTGTGTTCTGGCATTTCATATGCTGGGATGTAGAAATCAGAAACAGCAGCAGCCAAATAAAACATAGCCTTGGACCCTAGGAGGGAAAAAACAAATGAATAGTAGTAACTAGAAATTCCACTACAAACGTATTCAGCCTCAAATAATCATAAAGTGGGTTTGCTCACCTATGGAGCTTAATGCTTGAGCTGCTGCCTTGAGTAGATGGAGGTACTCTGACAAGGTGTTGAATTCCACCGGCAGCAGTAATCCTGCGGCTTTCACCGCCTGATAGCGCTTTAGAACCTTTGCAATGTTTGGAAGTGCATTCTGATCCACCAGGATCTGACCGGCGTCCTCCTTACCAGTCTCTAGTTGTAAGCTATCCAGTAAATTGACCCCTGTGTACAGACGAGTGTATGGGTAGAGAGAACGATGCCTGTGCAGAAAGATCACTGCATAGCCTGAGTCCAGAAAATACTCGGCAGAGGAGGCCCCTCGCCGACCACTGCTGAAGTTGTCCAGGAAACGTACTGTTCGGGATTCCAGAGGAACTTTGGTTCCTCCTGAGGTGATGAGGACTACTCTGCGCCCAGCCGATCCGTGATGTTCGGCAAACTCTGTCATGAGTTTCTTGACCTCCTCCACATGAGGGGACCGCAAACTCTTCAGACAGTCCTCCATCCACTGCCTTCGAGGCTGAGGGGTCACAGTGGGCCATTATAAACCTAAAATAAATAGGGTTTAGTTAATAAAGTGTTATCACTATGCATGTGTTCATGAATGGCGATTTGTAATTAAAAATAAGCTACAGAAGATGATAGATTCTGACAGATTCCAGACCTTAAAATAATACGACTTTATATTCTGCATAATTGTCCCTGAGCAATATACTGTTGGTCAACTATGAAATTAAGGTCAGATGAATATTTGACCAAGTTCTTGAACTAATGTCAAATTAAGTGTGAGAAAGAGTACCATAATTATCATGACTTTCACTAGACAAAACTAATGTATTTTCACTTAACATGCGTAGTACACAAATCTGCTCCCTCAAACAATACATTCTCGCTGTCAGTGTACGTTAAGCTTATCTTATTATCGCGCAGATATGAATAAATAAACATAATAAGATAAACAAATGTTTACCTGTTTGCTTTCTCACAAATAATACGCGCAAGAATATAATTCACCTGCGAAGGACCCTAATAAACTTGGACCTAGTGTGTGACAGATCAACATGAGCAGTTCCTACAACTTATTATGGTTGAGCGTGCGCATGCGCAGCTTCGGATGACGCGATTGGCTGTTTCAGAGGGCTACCACTGTGAAAATTCCAAAATAAAGGTTTTCAGATGACTCTCCAAACATGGACCACAGTGGTATGATAGACAAAAGAAAGTACACAAGAAAACAGAGATAAAAGAAGAAGAGCATAATACGTATTTTATTAAATATTTTTAATTTACTGTGGTCAATAAACAGTGGTGTAATTATCCATCCAACATATAAAATACATTTCTAATGTAGACTTTGAAGGAAGAACGAACTGCAAAATATTTGTATAACATGTAATCCACGTTCGGTTCACAGGGGGCAGCATTGTGTAAGCAATACGAAATGAGAATCATTTTACTTCTTAAAAGCTGCAAATCTTTTTGCAAACATTTAGGACTGGGGTTATAAAAACTTCGCATTATAAATGTGATATTTACACATCCTACAAATAAATATTCTTTATTTTAAGAACTAAAATAAGATAAAAAGACCTAAAATAAGACCACAAAAGTAAAACAAATGAGGAATATTTTTCGTCCTCCAGACAAACGGCTCACAGCGGGGAAACGTCTTTATTTAAATTTTTATTATTATTATTATTTTAAACCTTCATTATTTTATTAGTAAATAATTTTGGGGTGCTGTCCACATCTTTTTATTAGGAAAAATAATATTAGTAGGCCTGTATATATATCATTACCCATTTGCCAAAGGCTTTGTGAACTGCACTGTTATTAGCCGCAATAACGTTTCTTATTAATTAATTAGGCATTTAATATTTAAAACACTGATTATTATTAAAAATACCGAAGATACCTGACGACATGATCTACTATGGTAACTCAACATCCAAGAATTGACGGATTTAAAACCAAATAAAGTCTAATAACCGCATAAAACTATCTTCATTTTATTATTAAATAAAAAAAAAAAGTTGGGAATTATCTACACCTAAATATCTAATTTCTAGTCGGACATACTGCTACTCTTTCGACAAAGGCTTTATGATCTGTGCTGTATTAGCAATAATAAAGTTTATTTTGAATCGACTAGTACATTTCATATTCTATATTGTTTTTATTGTATGGTATTTTTGTGATTAGGGTAAATGTGAAAAGCCATTGCTAATAATTCTCGTGATATTCTTGTACACTAAAGGCACTACTTTCCGGCTGCAAAGCCTGTCGCAGCTTGGTACTGTGGGCCGTTCTCCGGCTAATGTCCAAAAGTAGTTCCGGATTTTTGATCCGCGCAGTCCCCGGATGTTAGCTATTCAGAGAGAAAGACGAACGAACGAACGAGCGAGAGAGAGGCGGAGAAGCTAGGAGACGCCACAGACAAACCGGTAAAGGGATTGCGGGTCTCAAACCCACGATAAACACGGAGCGCTGAGGCTCGTTTCGAGGAGACGGCTGTGATCGAAAAAAGGAAGGGGAGGGGACAGCTAACTTTGACAGACCTGCACTGGCCTCCAGCAGCGGACGCAAGCCCGGGTGAGTGCGGCTGAACGTTACGAGCTCGCGACATGGAGCTCGCGAAGTTGAAGTCAGGGCCCGCGAAAAATGGACGACTTTAACTGTTAGTTGTGTGCTGCTGAAGTTCTGAGCAGAGCAGGAGGACAGACGTTCAGGCCTCAAGTGGTATGCCGCTGCCGCCGTCGGTCGGGGGCAAGTGGGGACACTGCAAGCTCCTCTGTCACAGCAGAACAAGTTTAGTTAGCAAGCTGCTAGCCGCCAATACGATTTTTGTCAGACAGGTAGCGAGAGTGAGCTGCTAATTAGCCGCCAGCTTTACTTTAGCTCGCCTGCTATTTTTGCGCGTATCTGACAGGCGTCTGACTTGAAATATTTGTGACTGAAACTCGGTCAGTAAGCCGAGCTGGAAGCCAGCTCTTCGGCCGGGAACTGCCAAACGACCAACTTTTGGTGCTGTGAACTAACAGTAGTTGGAGGTGGAGGCTGTGTATCTATTAATATTTTGGAAACAGACGCGCGGCAGCTGCGTGTCATTTTAAATACGAATCCTGGCCAACTTGTGGGGCCATTAATATGGATACGAGCTAGGTTTTTGTGCGAACAGAGAGTTAAGATTGTTAATGAAGCGTTATTGAAACCTTTAGTTTGACTTTATGAAGTTGTGCGTGAGTTATTACCTTTCTGTCAGCATATGCGACAGGTGATAAGACACACCTCTTTAGTCTCTACAGTTCTGATCTTGCATGTAACTCGTGTGGCTTATTTGCAGGATTTTATACACATCATATGTAGACTGTCATATCTAGTCAATGCAAGACTAGTCCCCCGTCTAGTCAACTGCTGGATTGTTACCCGCTGCCTGTCAGGTATTTGGATTTTCCCCTTTAGTTACTGCAAGAACAGACCTTTACTGTCATGTTGTGCTCTGGGTTGAATTTTAATTCTTGTTGTTTATAATTTTAATTCTTGTCGATGCCTAACGTTTATAATTTATATGGAGCCACCATAATTTGACATTAAGGCAAGACACCACAAGTGAATATAGTTACAAAAAGATGTCACTTTACTTCCCCATTTGATTAATCACAGTACAATATGACAATTGTTTGCATTCCAGTTTTTTTCCCCGAAATGGTATGTTTAAATATGCAAATTAGGGGTTATATAATTAAATATGCACTGATTTGCAGAAAAATCCATGTTCAGAATTCTTGTTTTATTTTTTTGCCATATAAGAGTTAAAAGTAACAGAGGGTATATATGCTATATGCAGTCAGGTAAGTGATATATGAACAAGCCACTCTGTAAAGAATATAGATTAGGGGTGGGCGATATGAGCTAAAATTCATATCATGATATTTTACACTGTCCAGGCGATATCGATATTATATTGTGATATGAGAAAAAAAATTACACGCAAAATATTTTAACCTTATATGACTAGAAAAAGTGAGGGATTGGACAAAGACCTGAAAAGTCTTTTTTTATTGTGCCATTGTTTTTCTCAAAAAGTGCAAATGCGCGCAACATGAGGTAGGCCTGTATGAATTAAATTAAATTAAATATTCTGTTTGAGTAGGCCAGTGGTTCCCAAACTTTTTCTGCCGGGCCCGCCTTTTGTAGGCCCCCTCACACCCTTTTTTTGGGGGGGAAAGTCTCTTATGCTCACCAAGGCTACATTTATTTATTAAAAATAAAGTAAACACTAATATTGTAAAATTGTCAATTTAAATGATCTATTTGAATGTTTTAACACCTAGGCTACTGTATTCCTGTGATCAAAGCTGAATTTTCAGCATCATTACTCCAGTCTTCAGTGTCACATGATCCTTCAGAAATCATTCTAATATGCTGATTTGCTGCTCAGTAGCCATTTCTGATTATTGTCAATGTTGTAAACATTTGTGCTGCTTCATATTTTTGAGGAAACTATTTTTTCACGATTCTCTTATGAATATTTAAAATGGTCCTTTATGTCAGAGCGTTGGAGTTCGTCAGAAATAGAAAGCGGCATCAGTTTACTGTCATGGATTTGTCGTGTCGCATCGCACCGCATCCACAGCAGAGAACATCGCTGGGTTCTATTTGCTTTTGTCAAATCGCGCCGCTCGCATCTGGTGTAGACACTTTGTTTTGGTATTTGTGAATCTTAAGTATATTCATTATATGCTTTACGTTTACCTGGCACTGGAAGTCCTTTCACAAACTTGTAACTTTCATGCTTAGAGCAGAACCATGCATCCTTCATTTATATTTCTACATGACTCCCTGCAATACAACTCTGATTCTTCAATCGCGCCATGTAGTGGTCTGTTATTGATACAACCACAACTGCTACAACTGATAACGGAGCGCTCAAGCGGGTACTGCGAGTCATGTCGAGGTCATTAAAATGTCAAATTAATATTTTGCGTTCAAGTATTTACTTATCAGGCAAGTGGCCGCATGATAAGCAAGAAAATTACACAGTGTAGTAGGGCTGCACAATTAATAGAATTTCTAATTGCGATTACAATTATGGGTGCCACAATTAGGTAATCGTTCTGTGTGCTTAAAATGCTTTTTTTTCTTTCTACATGTTATCTTAGTTTTTCAGTTAAGTGTTTTCAGCTTGTTTATTTTCATATAAAAATACAGCATGCAGTTGCATCAAACAATGGTATAAACATCATTCAATGTAAATTGTGATAATCGTAATTAATAATCCCAATTACAATTTCAAGGGAATAATCGACAATTATGATTTTTGTCATAATCGTGCAGCCCACCCTGCAGAGGTTTCTTTTGCAAAATAATCTGCTGACTGTACACGATCCCTCAGTTTGGGAACTACTGGAGTAGGTGATTTGTGCTCTATTAATTTGGTATGTTACGATGCTCTATTGGCGCTTTTCGCTTTTGGTACGACTCGGCTCAGCACGGCTCAGTACGATAGCTGGATCCGCTCCTCTGCTATCAATGAGAGGAACGTCTGTTCTTCCGCAACAGAAAACAAAACTTTTTGGTTGTTATAAAAAGGTGCGCTCGTTCCAAACAGTTGCGTTCTATCCTTCGCTGGCTGTGCTGATTTAAATCTAGCGGTTCTTTTGTGTTTGTGTCGCAAGTTCAGTGACGCAGGTAGTGACGATTCTCTCCGGCCAATCCGTGATCAGCAGAGTTTACACGTCACGTTTTGGTAACGGTACGGTTCACTTGGAACCCCAACCGAGGTGGTACTAAAAAAAGTACCAGGTACTTTACCCAGTGGAAAACCCCCAAAAAGTGAACCGTACCGAGCTGTACTGTACCGTACCATGCAGTGGAAAAGCACCACATGTGTTTGATTACTAATGCCTGTGTAGTACGGCGTTGCACACAGAGGACAAAAACGTTCAGCCTCGACTCTTTATCGTCATTTGTGTTAAAATTTGCAAAGCATACCAAATTGAACAAAACAATATAAATGCAAAATTTGAATTCATGAATATATAACGGTATCCACGGTATAGCAAAATCCATATCATGGAACAACATAATACCGGTAGTCACTTTCATACCGGTATAGCACCCACCCCTAATATAGATAGGATTAAAACTCTGTAAGTGCAACTGAAGTGAAGGTTTCTGGCTCAGTGCAGGAAAAAAAGTCATTCTGAGAAAACAACTTATAAAAATATGTATTGTAATTGAAGTCTGCAAATGCAAATAGATAAAATGTAATCAAATAAATATCTAAATGTGAATTTTTTTTTTTCTGCTATTCTGAAAAAAGACATGTTATCGAAGCAAAATAGACCAATACCTCAAAATTGACCAGTGCCATGAAAAGACAATGGTTTTGCCTGTAGTGTCTTGCCTTAAGTTGACAATGACAGCTTGTCTGCATATTTTTGCATGCATGTTACAATTTGTATTGGCCTGATGAGGATTGACCAACAGCATTCTATTAGTTATAATAGGATTTTCTTCCCCTCCTCCTTCACTTAAAGAGTAGAGTACGAATGGAGAGACTGTTGAATTATGTACCAGCATGCTTAAAATACTGAATGATGGACATATGCGAACTACCCGGGACATATTTTCCCCACCCAGTCAGTGTAGCAGTACAATAGTGTGAAAGATTCACGTTAGCACCAGACTTGTTTGTCTTTGGGTTGTCAGCTCACAGAACGCAGAAAATGATTGAACTATCAGTTGCCTGTCAGAACACGCCTGGTGGTTCTTGTGCTGAAACCGCTGCATTTTAGTATTTATAATTATTGCATCAAGAACATTGTTATATTTGTACAAAAAGTGATTTGAGTCATGAATGTTGCGCTTGTACATTTTGATCTCTGTAATGTTTTGTACTTTTGTATTGATATAAAATGGCTAAAAGCTATAGCAGACTTTATATGTGTATGTATGCATATAAATAATTTATCAGATTTGATCATGTGATGCCATACAACATAACAGAATTCATTGCTGCTGCCTCATGTTTTTGCAGTTGTTTTCCCACCAAAAATGTAATTTCCTGGAAGATGATGTCTTTAGGGACGTAGCATTTGTTAGTTAAATGTATATTATGACATGTTACATAGGTATTAGAAATGACTAACAGCATGGAAAGGGATATTAAGAATACAGGGGAAATTTTTTTGATAAATAATTTAAATAATTTATCAGATTTGATCATGTGATGCCATACAACATAACAGAATTCATTGCTGCTTGCTCATGTTTTTGCAGTTGTTTTCCCACCAAAAATGTAATTTCCTGGAAGATGATGTCTTTAGGGACGTAGCATTTGTTAGTTAAATGTATATTATGACATGTTACATAGGTATTAGAAATGACTAACAGCATGGAAAGGGATATTAAGAATACAGGGGAAATTTTTTTGAAATTATTACCAGGTAATGCATGTTTAGTTTACTTTTTGATGAGATAAATAAATAAATAAAGCACCTGAAATATCAGTCAGTTTTAAATTAATCTGTTTATAAAAAAATATGCAGTTCACATTTTTTGTATTTTGTAATATATTTTTCTAGAAG